ACCACCCTCCGAGTGAAAAAGTTTTTCCTAATATCCAACCTAAACCTCCCCCACTGCAACTTGAGACCATTGCTCCTTGTTCTGTCATCTGCTACCACTGAGAACAGTCTAGAGCCATCCTCTTTGGAACCCCCTTTCAGGTAGTTAAAAGCAGCTATCAAATCCCCCCTCATTCTTCTCTTCCGCAGACTAAACAATCCCAGTTCCCTCAGCCTCTCCTCATCAGTCATGTGTTCCAGTTCCCTAATCATTTTTGTTGCCCTCCGCTGGACGCTTTCCAATTTTTCCACATCCTTCTTGTAGTGTGGGACCCAAAACTGGACACAGTACTCCACATGAGGCCTCACCAATGTCAAACAGAGGGGTACAAGCATGTCCCTTGATCTGCTGGCAATGCCCCTACTTATACATCCCAAAATGCCATTGGCCTTCTTGGCAACAAGGGCACACTGTTGACTCATATCCAGCTTCTCGTCCACTGTCACGCCTAGGTCCTTTTCTGCCGAATTGCTGCCGAGCAAGTCTGTAGCGGTGCATGGGATTCTTCCGTCCTAAGTGCAGGACTTTGCACTTGTCCTTGTTGAACCTCATCAGATTTTTTCGCCCAATCCTCTAATTTATCTAGGTCCCTCTGTATCCTATCTCTACCCTCCAGTGTATCTACCTCTCCTCCCAGTTTAGTGTCATCTGCAAACTTGCTGAGGGTGCAATCCACACCATCCTCCAGATCATTTATGAAGATATTGAACAAAACCAGCCCGAGGACCGACCCCTGGGGCACTCCACTTGATACCGGCTGCCAACTAGACATGGAACAATTGATCACTACCCGTTGAGCCAGACAATCTAGCCAACTTTGTATCCACCTTATAGTCCATTCATCCAGCCCATACTTCTTTAACTTGCTGGCAAGAATACTGTGAGAGACCGTGTCAAAAGCTTTGCTAAAGTCAAGGAACAACACGTCCACTGCTTTCCCCTCATCCACAGAGCCAATTCTCTCGTCATAGAAGGCAATTAGATTAGTCAGGCATGACTTGCCCTTGGTGAATCCATGCTGACTGTTCCTGATCACTTTCCTCTCCTCTAAGTGCTTCAGAATTGATTCCTTGAGGACCTGCTCCATGATTTTTCCAGGAACTGAGGTGAGGCTGACTGGCCTGTAGCTCCCAGGATCCTCCTCCTTCCCTTTTTTAAAGATGGGAACCGCATTTCAGATCTCATTTACGAGGAGACTCGGGGAGTGCTAAAGGTTATTTTTGGAGAATGTGATCCGAGATGCTGTTGCTTACACTTAGCATGGAAAGCAGAAGACTGTGACTTCCATGGATGTTGTTTATGCGCAGAAGCACCAGGGTTGTACTCTGTATGGATTTGAAGGCTAAACCTGTGTCAGTAATTCTCAGAAAACATCTATAACCCAAAGGGAGAACAACATTCCACAATAATGGTTCCGATTCCCTCTGACTTCTCCCACAGCCTCCTCAGCTACTTGGAGCAGCATCCTCAGCAGCTCTGTGAGCTCTCCAGGCTGAGGAATGTCAAAACTTCCTGGAGCTTTGCAAGGGGAGGGGCACATGCCTGCATAGCTAGGTGCAAGGCAGCGAGTTCAAAACAACGAGCAGAGCGGTCATGACAGGCATTGTGGATACTGGGGGAGGCCAGTTAAGTTGACGTAATAAATGGCAGTGTCTATACCCGGGGTGGGCAAACTTTTTGGCCCGAGGGCCACACTGGGGTTGCGAAACTGTATGGAGGGCCAGGTAGGGAAGGCTGTGCCTCCCCGAACAGCCTGGCCCCCGCCTCCATCTGCCCCCTCCCACTTCCCACTCCAACCGCCCCCCCTTAAATTCCCCCAACCCATCCAATCCCCCCTGCTCCTTGTCCCCTGACTGCCCCCTCCCGGGACCCCCCTACACCCTGACAGGCCCCCCAGGACTCCCACGCCTATCCAACTCCCCCCTGCCGCGCTCCCTGTCCCCTGACTGCCCCAACCCCATCCACACCCCCGCCCCGACAGGCTCCCCGGGACTCCCATGCCTTTCCACCCCCCCCACCTGTCCCCTGACTGCCCCCCCAGAACCTCCGCCCCCTGTCCCCTGACTGCCCCCTGGGATCCCCTGCCCCTTATGCAACCCCTCTCCCCCCCTTACCATGCCGCTCAGAGCAGCAGGAGCTCGCAGCCATGCTGCCCGCAGGAGCGGCAGACCAGAGCACTGGCAGGGTGGCGAGGCTGCGGGGGAAGAGGGATAGCAGGGGAGGGGCCGGGGGCTAGCCTCCCCAGCTGAGAGCTCAGGGGCCAGGCAGGATGGTCCCGTGGGCCAGATGTGGCCCGCAGGCTGTAGTTTGCCCACCTCTGGTCTATACTGACGCTTTGTCACTTTAACTTTGCTGCAGAAAGCTCTATGCCTCTCATCAAGGTGGTTTGGTTTTGTTGGCAAAACAGCAGAGTTTTGCCACCAAAAGTAGCACTGTAGTGTGTACACCTCCACTGGTTTGTCAGCAAAAGGCAGCTTTTGCAGACAAAACTGTGTAATGTAGACAAGGCCTAAGCCTCTTCCCCAGACTTAGGCTACATCTACATTACAGCCGGGATCAACACTCTGAGATTGATACACCGGCGGTCGATTTAGCAGGTCTAATGAAGACCCGCTAAATTGACAGCAGATCGCTCTCCCGTTGACCCCTGTACTCTACCCATGACGAGAAGAGTAAGGTAAGTTGACGGGAGACCCCGCAGTGTAGACTCCATGGTAACTCGACCTAAGGTAAGTCAACTCCAGCTACATTATTCACATAGCTGGAGTTGCGTAGCGTAGGTCGACTTACCACAGTAGTGTAGACATTGCCTTAGTTGCTCCTAGGACCTCTGTCTCAGAATCTCTTTGTCCCAACCCACACCAACATTCCTTATATTCAGATTGGAGCAGAATGTGCCACACCTGTCCCCATGGAGGCAGCAGTAATTAACCAACATTTCTGCAGGGTTCCAACACCTGCTAACAGAGTGGGGCAAGAGCAGAAGCCTGACATGCTGTTACAGGAAAGTATGGAAATGACAGGAGCGAAGAATTGATTTTCTTTCTTCCCACTGTCTTTAGAAGCTGAATGGAAGCTCACCTTGTTCACACATTGTTGTTTTTTAAATGTATTGGTCTGTGAGAAAAAAGTAGCTACAATGACCATTAAAGGAAAGCAAAAAAGAATTAATTATTCGCTTACAAATATTTATGATTATCATTACAGCGGAATGAATTCAAATATAAGTGGAGAGAGGTGTTGTCCAGGGATCTGAGCACAAAGGACTAACGTGGAATGCCAAAGCTGCCACGGGTGGGGAGAGGTTGTGCCTAGGTGCTCTATCACAGTAGCAGAACCTGAAGACACTTTGGCCTTCAGGGGCATGCACACCATAAGGGCAACAGTTGCATCCTTTCAAAGGTGCAATGTATGTACATTTAGTGTCAGATTCAGTTCTGTGTCCCACTTTGCTCTGGATGTTGAAGCTGATCTTGTGTAGATATATACACATACTTAACCTTCTATAGCATCTGTCAACAAAGAAGAATACCCTATGATTTCAATATATTTTACAGTTTAATGGTTTCAAGATCTGTCCAGAAATTTCTGTGATGGGTTTTACAGAATTTTTCTTCATTTTCTGATACAGGATCAACCTTCGTTGATGGGAAAAGCCTAGCAACTCTGGCTCTTCCTATGCTTTACTCTTTAGCTTGACTTTGCCCATTTACAGAGTGGGACTATATGAGTAAGGGGTATGGTTTGGGCAGTTACTTTCATTCTCAAAAGAGTGCATGCCCTCTGGAAAACAGACCAGGAGGAACTGAATATGAGACTTATTTATACAGATAGATGCATGGTTGAATATGGGATCAAAGAGGTTGCTCCACATAGAGAGACTAATATGAATTATTTTATATTTAAATTCAGACTAGTTTGTACTGTCCAGAGACATCTTCCAGGATCCTATCATCATCATCACCTACAAAAGAACTTGCACGATTTACCTATTCATATAATATTAATGCAATGCAATTATATTTATATGCTAAAATTACAATATATGGATATTATTACCTGCTGTAATTTAAGACACACCAGTTTACGCTTTCACACAAAAATATTTTCCTGGACATATACTTTAAACAAAAGAGCTCCTGGCTTGATGGCCATATGGACTTTAGTGAGATGAAGAAATGAAACAGCCATTACTGAAAAACATGCAGGAAAATAAGCAAGAAAACCCACACAGTGCTACATGGGGAGAATTTTAAGTAAGTATAACCTATGGAGATGTGAACTCTTCACTTTTGGTTTAAAATCCTTAACTGGCCAAGGATCGAGGAGTTCATGTCCCCATAAGCTTGGCACCTGAAAAGTACTGTGAGGTCCCAGCAAACTCCTTCATGAAGAAGTGGCAAAAGGCCTTTGCCTCTCAGTAAGCTAACAACAACTGATATGGACAGATAAATGAAAAGAATGTTCCTCTTTGGTGAAATCTAGAACTTACATGAAGAAATAGCTGGTACTTACTGAGTAACGTCTTAAAAGAGGAGTGTCCAAATTTTGACATTCAGTGAGTATATGCAACACTTGTTCAATTTGCACCAATTCTGTATTTCATGGGAACTGCTGGTGAAAGCAGGTGCAACTCTTGAAGCCAATTTCAGTTGCACCTCTATAACGGATTTAATTTAGTCTTGGTTGTGTTGTGGATAGCATAGAAGAAAGATAAAAATGGGAATGGGGAGTGGATTGCTTTGCCTTACACTCTCCTATAAGTTGCTTTTCCTGCTACTGTTGCCCAGTTTCCAACCCCCTAGTATGCATGTTACACTAATTTTGCACACTCACTGAAACTCAATCATAGCAAGTCTAGCTACACAACTTTTATGATTAACTCATACCCAATGTATATTGTACACCACCGTGTATAGCACTTCTGAATTTGGCCCAGACTTCCATAGGAGTTGCAATACCTTATTGTTGTTCCTTGTAGTCGGTCAATCTTTTTATTTAATTCAGCGATAATGCTGTGAAGCTCTGTGATTCGTTCCTCATAGCGTAGTGTTGTTCGCTCCTGTACATCTTCATGCTCTCTCATTAGATGAGATTGTTCACACTAAAGCAGAAAAAACAAAGTACAAAGGAAGAGGATGGGTTTTAAGATTAACCATACTGAGATTAGATGTAAGGCAAAGTTTTATGTGCATTAATGGCTCCCCTACCCACCAATCCTGACACCATTTTTCAATAGAGAGAGGAAAATAGTCTTTAGAGTGGCCTTCTAACTTGGTACAACCCAGGGCTTTACAGGCTACATGCCAAGAGCCCAAGGATTTCACCTAAATTCAATAAAATAAACCATACTGCAGCTGCCCTCATCTTGAATATAGTGTCACCCACCACTCAGATCAGCCTGGAATATCACAAACTGGGACCTATAGTCTTTGTGAAGATTGTCATCCAGGAAGAATTGTCTGGGCTTTTCCCATGGTTATCATGCCTTCCCATATCCCACAAGAAGATATTATGTTGGGGGCCTGCAAAGCCATCACACTATGATGTTGTGTTCTAGCACTGGATTTTATGATAGAATGCAATAACCCTATGCCAAAAAAAAAAAATCCCTCCAAAAACCTAAACCACAAGACATTGTGTGGCGATGTGCTAGATACCATGCCATGAAGTTGTAACTGTCAAATCTGTTCCATCAGACAGAGCTACAAGAGGTGCCAATTCCAGACACAAGCAGTGTATTGTAACACTCTGACATATATCTTAGGCTTCCCAAACATTTCAGGGGCATCCAAGTGTTTCATGAGAGATCAAGGAGAGACTTTGGCACAAGATAACAGAAATGTGGCTGCCACTTTTCCTCCACCATTCTGGTTGAAACAATATAGTGGGGTAAACATGTTTAAAATAGACAAAGCCTAGAGAATCTGTTAGTAAGCCTTTTTCCTTCCCATTAGGATTTTCTTTTTTCGGTTTAAGAAGGTACTTTGCATAATTTACTCATTTATAACACAATAAAAAGCTTGTCATTTGAGCCATGAAACAACAGACCTATTGCTTGTATTACTGTATGCTCCACACAACCCTGTCTAACTTTCCCTCCAACAGCGTTTCAATTCAGTCTAGTCTTAGTTCCAGATGCCAGAAGCCACATGCATTGCAATTACAGCACTAGCCATGGTACACATTAATTAGGCTTGGTAGCAGACTGGAAAGGGCAAGACTTCTGACCTGCTTCTGACCCCATGCAAGAATCAGGCAGGCCCCTGCCTCTCCTGCAGTCACACAATGGAGACTGCTCCTATTAAATGAAATCTCAAACTTACAGTGATCTATGCATTGGTACATCAATTGAACATATTCAATGCCTTTTTAATAAAACTATTTCTAAATGCTAAATCAGAACTAACTACTGCATGAATCCTCCTGCATTTTTATTTTACTGAAAGTGACTTGCCCTGAATATCACTCTATATGGAATTAAAATACAGTAAAGTAACACAATACATAACACATACAAAATTCCTATCTACAGTTAGGGGTCTGACAATATTTTCATAATAGCCCCTATTTTCTTAGGTTCATAACTTATGACTTGGGATCATTACTTATATGAAAATAAACTTCCTCCAAACTGAAAAATGATGTTAAGCTTGACAGAAAATTTATTATCCACTTTTTTTTTTTTAAGAAATCCATTTCAATACTTTTAAATTCTTGGAGTACAAACACAGCGCAGAATAGTCGTGTTGTTTTTCATTCTAACTGCTGTGAAATATGCAATGACTTTCACACTATATCTACCTTCTAACAAGATAATCAATGTTAGAATTTAATTGACAGGCAATAGTGATCATCTGTACTATCAATACATTATATTTGTATTTATTGTTTTTGGAAAGGGAGGGGAAGAACAAAGATATATATATATACACATATAATAAGGGCCGAGTATATAATAATTGTTTTAAAATGTAAATACAAATTTATCATCACAGAATAATAGAAATTATGGATGGAAAATAGGTGAAGCCATCTAGTCCACACTCCGTGCAGGACTGTTCTCTACAGTGTTCTTTGTCCAAAAGAAGACTGCACTAGCTTCTTGCTAGAAGTATGATGACCACATATAATTTACACAAAATGGAGTTGCCTTCATCTTTAATGTAGAGGTACAGGATACTGACAATACATGTCCCATTATGCCGTGAGATTCATCTTGTTCTTAGATCAAAGGCACCAACTTTCGCAGAGTGGAATTCCTCTTGGATGAAGTCTGTCCCCCTGTGGATGTATCTCCATACTAAAGATAAGGGCAGCAGAGGGCCACATTCTTGAACTCCAATGAGCCACATTCAGCCTTCAGGCCGCACACTGGCTACCTGACATAGCCATTATATACAGACATCACCATATCCTCTTACTTCTCATACACTATCACGAAAGGCTTTATTTCTCTGTTCCCTCGCCTCCCCATCTCCCTGATACTTGATCAAATAACTAGTCCTTCCTTCAGAGTATAAAAATACAGGGGAAGAAAGTATCAGATAAAAATGTTAAACAGTTTAACAAAAATGCTAGACAAAGATTACGCCCAGGGAAAATGGAAAGAAAAAGTGGCTTACTGCACCTTTCTAAACCAAATTTCCTGTGACACACTTTAATACCCATAAACACTGTCTCAGTATTCTCCAGCTCAGTGAGTTATCTACTCAATGTGGGTTTTTTTAAACTGAAAGGATATTTCAGACGGAGGGTTTAACAATAATTTTCTGACAATAAATAAAAAGCCTACCACACCGGATTTCATTTCTCTAAGCTGGGCACGGAAAAGCTGAATGTTATTTATCTTGGCTGAAGATGTACTGACTCTCGCTAATGGACTTCAGCTACAGCACGAGGCTTGCTTTCTCTCCCTCACTCTCTCAAGTCATTGCACAGTCACCATTTTTCACAAAAATCTTTACTTGGTGACAGACATATGGTGAGTAACAAAGAGGAAACAACGTGAAACAGGGGAAGTGTATGCACCTGAAGCAGCTTTAAGTTTTTGTTTAAAAGGGTCTTTGGCCTCCCTGGGGCAACAGAAAATGAGAAAAAAGAAGGGCACAAGGTGGAGACCCAACATGCTTTGCCGTGGTTTCAGCACGAATGATCTGAAGGAAACCTTGTACAACCTGGAGGATGATGTGGTGTTCCTGTCAGGCAATAGTGATTCTCCTCTGAGAAGGGTAAAAGTATGCGAAAGGAGACAATACAACCTATTATGCAATGTAGAATCCAGAGACAGAAAGAACCATCTAGACCATCTGTCAACCCAGGACTATACCTCTATTGGCCAATTTTTGTCCGTAGGTTTAAATGTGCCACTAGTACTTTTGATATATATATTTTTTCAATATTCAACCTAAAGTTTCTCTTCATTAATTTCACCAATTATTTATACCCCATTTCATTATATTAAATTCCTCTCTCTCCTTGTTTCTCATATTCTTCAAATATCAGATTTATCTCATGCACCTCATAGTTGTTTCTTATCCAAGATGTACATATTTAGTTTTTTTAATCTCTTCTCACATGTCAGTTACTTCCAGTTTGAGATAAATGCCTCACACCCTCTCTCTTTCTCCTCAGCCTTGTTTTGGTCTCATATCTAACTTTCTGACTGGAATTATTAATGGTACCACTTGGCAGAGAAGGAAGACACAAGAACAAGCCATGGATTCCTGGAGGAGTGTGCACATCAAGAGTAGCTGCCAGGAAGAAAAAAGTGTTTCCAGTAAAGTTTTTAGCCAAAGTGACCCAGGGTTTCTGGGACAGGCTGCAGAGGTTACTTCATTACAGAACTAAGTTACCATGCTTGGGAACACCTTTGGCACTTTAAAGTCTGATCTTCTGGATAAAAGGGAGGTGCTGGGAAACAATCATCAGACCAATAAAAAACGTGAAGTGAGAGAGAAGAGAAAATACTTCAACCTCAGGATGTTGGCACAAGTAGGTGTAACTGCTTATAAAGTGTAGCAACCTGCAGTACAAGAAACACCAACAGTATCATCATTTGCATTACACTTATTGTACTCAGCTAGAGGATAGTACCAAATCCTAATCTTAGTGCTAGAGTAACAAAATCCCTAGAATCTCAGACACCTGCCTGAGGTGGAAGTAATCCCAGTAACACAATATTTTAGGAAGAGTACAAGCCATCACCTGAATCAGCTACAACAATAAACTTGTCTAACAAGTTCTTAGGAGCCAAACCTTTGCTTAAACAATATTGTATTTTAATTTATGACAAGCGGAAGCTTTTAGGATGCCATCAGTTAATTCTTGTCTCTTTTAAATATAAGCAATATTCTGGTGGCCTGAGCCCCTTCCTAACAAGACACATGGATAAGAATTAATTGTATGGGGGTTTAGTCTGTGTAATGCTTGAGGCTGAATGAGAGTATTGGTAAACCACATCTACTTGCTATCCATTTAAACTTTAAGTACTATTTCTAATTATTTGTTTAGCTCAACTATTGATCTTGATTCCATGTCATCCAGCAAACCAGAAGAGTGCAAAAGGAATGGCAAAGTTGAATCTTCTGATCAGAACATAGAGTATGGCTTTTGGAATTGCCTCTTGTTTAGGAGTTCAGGTCTTTAGTCTTCCACTCTGCATCACTGCAGATCAGAGAAATGAATACTGTAGTCCTGATGGAAAGGTGTAATTCTTGTATGGAGAGCAGACACACTGCTCTAGTATTCCAAAAGGAAGCAGCAGTAACTAATTTAGGATAAAGTCCTTAATTACAAAATCCCTCGTTTCCAAGGTCATTTTAGCATTAAATCCACTCTGATTTTTTAATTTTTTTTTTTAAGAGAGAGTAACAACATTGACAAATTCTGAGTAGCATGATGCATCTTGGGAATGTAGTCCTTTAGGAATGTATTCCCTGAATAGTCCTACTCAGGAGGAGGACCACCTTGAACCAACTTTGGAAAAAGAAACATTTATACAAAAACCAACTGTACATGGTCTGTATTTTTCTGTGTTCCCTCAGCTTCAGTTTTTGTCTGATCCAGCAGTTAAAACTAAACTAGAGCTTCATGAACATTGGC